CTAAATGCCTACCAAATAATTCGAGTTAAGGTACGTTTTATTTCGATTTATAGAGGTTTTCCGCAGCGGAGCGGAAGGGGATGAACAAAATTTCGTCTTATAGAGGTTCTCGAGTTGTAGAAGTTCGAATTATCGAGGTTCCACTGTAATGACAATTCAACATAAATTTATCTAAAATATCTTTATTTCTTTCCTTCTTTAAAGAAAAGCGCGCGCGCACACATGCGAAAGAGAGAATCATTTTTTTATAATTTTATTAATTTTAAAATACAATGCTTTTTAAAATGTTTCGGCAAAATTTTGAAGAAATTTATAATTTTAAAGTTTCAAAATTTTGAACGTAAATTTTGATGTAATCTTGAATTTTTTTAAATTTCAGTATTTGATTATAAAAATTATCAATTATAATAATAAATTATTAATTTTTTATAAATTCTTTTTGAGTGTTGAAAGTTCTATCAATATACTTACTTATTTAATTTTAAATGAAGTAAAAAGGTTTCAGCGCATTACGTGTCGTAGTTATAGCATGGTAAAGCATTTAAAATAATTTTTGTTTTACAATTTTAATTTCAAATTTTTTAAAATAGTAGGTTTAGAAGATTTCTGAAGTTAACTGAAAAACCTGACTTTGAAATTTTTTTTTTTTTTTTTTTTCAATTAAAAACAATAAATTATTTAGGCTCCGATAATTAAAATTTAAAATTAATAATAGAATAGGGCAAGGAGCTAAGTTGGATATTCATGCTAATAAAGTATATTAATCAAATTAATTATGTATGCTAATTTACAACTAAACGATTTCGGCTTGACATCAAGCCGAAATCCCTTGTTACGTCCAACGATGAGGGGGCGAATTAAAACCATTATCTAGATTGTTAGATTTCTTTGATTCCACTCCTAAAGAAATTCTCATAAAGACGCGGCCCGAACCGAGCAAAAGAACAGGCGGACGTCTTTGTTGTTAAACTACACGATTAACACATGCATTAAGGGGGCAGGAGGAGGAGGAGGTGTAGTCAGTCATTAATTATTTGCGAACATTTTTTTCTCTCCTTTCTTTTTGACTTACCGTATGACGTCTGATATCGCTGAACTGGTTGCGATGATCTATCGAGGGTAGAGGGGAACAGGGATGGCGAGAATGTCGCGGAGGCTAGATGCGAGGCGAAAGAAAATTCTGGTATTGCACTTGAGATTTCAGAGAGTTTATTTACTAACTTGCTCTCTGTGTAAATGTAATCGATCTCTTCTCCTTCAATCTTACTTTAACTATAGTTCATTTATAGTTATAGCATCTCTAACTTTTGTGACTCACGCAAGAAAGAGACGCAAATAAAAAAATAAAAAAAAAGAGAAAAAGGAAAAATGAAAGAGACGTTGAATTGATGCGAATATATGCGAATATATATATATAAACGTGTATGATATGTGTATACTATTTCTAAAATATGTGAGCTGCCCGCAAGAAGGAATTTGCAATTAAGAACTACGAAGGATATACGAAATCAGTATAAAAATATGTGAGCTATGCGTGGGATATACGAAATCAGTATAAAAATATGTGGGCGATGCGTGGATGCGAAGTTCGCCCTCTTTTCTTTTGTTGTTGTGGTATGTGTGGTTTCTCTTTCTCTTTCGAACGGTGATAGGACAAGGAAAGATCTTCGCGAAAATTGGATAGATTACCCCTCGATACGGAAATCGTGTCTGCGCCGGCGAGCGTCCAGCAGGGGGGGGGGGGCTGGGCGACGCGGCGAGGGATGGCTGCTAACACTGCGCTGGGTACAAACTGAGTCCAAACAGTTCGTAATTTCACAGTTTACTTTACGCTCTCGAGAAATAAGTCCAAAATTCTATAAAAAAAAGGAAAAAGAAAAGTGAAAAATCAAACGGTGGAACCAAATCACGATAAAACAAATTTTTGATTGATATAGCCGATACGTTCGGAAAATTCTAAGTGACCGTTCGTGGGGGCCGCCAAGACAAGCCGGTTAAAAGGGCGGCTGCTAATTAATTGACTGATTGACTGTTCGACTGTCCGTCCCGCGCCGCTGGTAGGGCCTTATATCATGCAGCGCGGTGAGACGTGGGGCGAGGGGAGCCCGCGAGACGCGTGCTTCTTGCAGGAGGTGTCGTTTTCACCGGCGAGATTAGAGATCTTTCTTTGTTCTATCATTTAGTAATAAGTATAAATCTGGCGGTTCTGTTGTACATGATACCCTTTTAACTTAATTTCTAAGGCGCATTCTTACATATTAATTATAAACACGCGGGCGAGTGAGCAGGGAAAGGGGGTGGCGGCCGTCCGACACACGAATATTGAAGCATGCAAGCGTGTATATTTCGTAAGGCCTGATTCTACCTGGAGAAGCAAGGTTTTATTGCAATTTTCCGAACATTCAAATTAAATATACTCAGTTATTATTTGTGAGACGCGACTACTGTGGCAGGGTTCTAAGAACAGAGGTTGGAGTCAAGATATTCAAACCGGAGCCGCGTGGGAACGTCCGGTCGCGATCAGCTTTCTCTGCTCTCGCTGCTTCGAATACAACAGATAAGATAACGAGTTTGGCTTATTCTACTAGTTTATCTTTTATATAATAACTAATGGCTTTAATCGGGGCGCATATCTTGCGAAAAGGCGCGACGCGCAGCTTTCCTCTCATAAAGCTATATGTGTAGGTACAATTAATATAATCCGCGGTCGGCAGGAGAGAGAGAGCACGACTTATTTGACATGATACGTGGGAATTTTACAATCTTCGAGTGTTTTTACGGCGGTTGAGATACTCTCCGGCGAAACTTTACTCGCATCTAGGGATAGGTATTCGGGTAACGAGGAGCCTTCGTATGTCTTTGCTACCGCCACTTATTCAGCGGTAAGCAGAGCCTGATAGCAGAGTGTTACGCAGTGTGACGAAGCCTCCAAAGGGGAATGGGGAGGGGGGGGGGTGGAAAAAGTGGCGGACACCCTTCTCAGTGGTCTTTTACAATTTCTTAACGTGTGTCACATTTTTCTATTACATATAAAATGAGAGTCATAGACGTCAAAGTTCCTTAGATTTGTCGCATTATTCCAATGAAATTGTTCCCATTACTAACAGTCAAGAACGGAGGATTCTTTATCAATTTAATCCATGAATTTTTATTATATTCTTAAACCTTGCTATGCTTGGAAATAATGGTAAGATGGAGGTTAGCCAAAAAGTGTGCCGAGATCCGATAGAAAATGATCTTTACTCCTGGTTATGTAATTACATTTTTTTTTTCAAATTATTGAAATGCTAACAATTACTACTTTTCGCAATTACAGTGTCACAAGTGACAGTAAGGCCAACGATGTCTGGGAGTCCGTACAAAAAACCACAAGGTTCGACGTCGCAATTAACAAAGAATCGCTTAGCCTCTGTGCCAAATGCGGCACACACTTCGGAGGAAGTTGAACGGTTAAAGGTAAAAAAATCAACGGGTCTACTATTATACATCCGTATATGTTAAGTGTGCGTTGATTCGTGCAATGTAATATTTTGTTTGCTCATTTCACACGATTGTGGTATTATTCAAACCTAATTATGGTTGCAGCCTTCGTACAGCACTGAAGAATTGAATCAGGAAATGGCCAACTTAGAGGGTCTTATGAAAGATCTGAATGCCATAACAGCATCGGAATTCGAATGCTAAAGTAGGTTCCTAAGCCTTGTGCCATCCTAAAACTGATGGATAGACTGCAACGCCGTGTTCTCTCAATGTTAGTACCCGAGAGGTAAATTGACTGTCACACTTTTTTTTGCTATTTATCGCTGAATTCTTTCCCAGTGAATTTTGAATTCGCCATTTTGAGATCGCGCGTAGAAGAAAAGCGAATATTGTACAGTTAATTAGCGTCGATGAACGGCGCAATTAATGCGCGATCCAGATGTTAATTGGGACACGTGCAAATCAACGGCTTGCGCCGCGGGAATTCCGTCACGTTTCCGTTCTCTCCGGTACTAGCGTTGCTTATCCTGGGCGTGTAAAACTCCAATATTGTACTTGCCAACGTAATCCGACGTCGCGTTTTCGCGGCGTATTCTTTTTTTT